ATTCCATCTGGTGAGGTCCATGTGTATAGTCATCTCTTATGCTGTCTAAAGAAGGTATTTGAAATGAACAAATCATTGATTTTGCAGAATTCTATCATGCTACCTCCAGCATCACTTCTATCACCAAGACCATATTTTCCACCTACTGATGCTTCCTCTTTGCTCGCAACCTTTGCATTCCAATCACTGGTAATGATCAATACAACTTAATTGCACGTTTGATCAGTTTCAGATTGAAGAAGTTGGTAGAATTCTTCTAGTTCACCCGCACTGGTTTTAGTGGTTGGTGCATAAATTTGAATAATAGTGGTATAAACTGGTCTTCCCTGTAGGTGCATGTATATTATCTTATCACAGACAGCGTTGTACCTCATGACTGATCTTTCCCAGCATTGTAAACCATGTGGTTTTCAGATTCAAAATGGCCAATACCAGTCCATTTCAGCTCACTAATGCCTAAGATATTGATGTCTATGCATTCTATTTCAGTTTTTGACAATTTCCAATTTTTCTAGATTCATACTTTGTACATTCCATGTTCCAATTACTAATGGATGTTTACAGCTGTTTGTCTTCATATTGAGTTGTGCCCCATCAGCAAATGAAGGTTCCGAGGGCTTTACTCCCATGGGCTTTACTCCATTCATGTCATCACGGTCAACTCTACTTTGAAGAGAGGCAACTTTTCCTCAGCCGCATTTTGGGTGTTTCTCTGCTATTCATAAAGTTTTTTGTGACAAAATATTCGGAAGTAGTTCATCACTCCTTCTTCCTAGTCTGTCTTCATCTGGAAGCTCATCTGAAACCTGTCCACCATGGGTGACCCTGCTGGTATTTAAAATACTGGTGGCATTGCTTCCAGAATCACAGCAACTCACAAACCACCACAATACAACAAACTGACTGAGATAGTCAATAAGTGAGAAGTAGGCATATATCACATTTTATTTATCCATTCACTAATTGAAAGACACTTGGATTGCTTCAATCTTTGGGCTATTGTAATAATGCTACTATGAATATTAACATACAAGTATCTGTTTGAGTCACTGCTTTCAATTCTTTGTGGTATATATAGTAGAATTGCTAGGCCATGTGGTAGTTCTATGCTAGACTTTTTAAGGAACTCCTTCATTTTGTGTTTCAATGGTTACATACTGGTCCATTTTATTATTGTATAGTTGTCAGATTCAAATGAATACATCATCTATGAGCAATTAGCATAAAGTTCAGCAGTAGACAAAACCAATCTATGTGTTAGAATTAAAAATTGTTGTTGCCATCAGTTCTAACACACAATGACCTTGTATAGGTTCCCAAGGAGCAGCTGATGAGTTTGAACCACCAACCTTACAGTCCAAGCCAACTTTGCATTTCAATGCATTCACCCAAAGAGCCACACCAGGACTCAGGGTAATAGGCACCTTTTAGAAGGAACAAGCATTGACTTAGAGGGATGGGAAGCTTCCAAGGTGCTGTTCATGTTATGTTTCTTGAACTCTGGTGTTTAAACAAGTGCATCCACATTGTGGTAATTAACAAAAATGTACACTTACAATTTTTTTAGTATTTCTGCATGATGGTTTGCTTCAATATTACAAAACTAAAGCTTGCAGTCTGGTGGGTAAAGCATTTATAGAGGCAAATAACTAGCTCAGTTTGAAAAGTGAATTCAGTATTGACTGTCTGGTGTGGCGCTGTATGATACGCAATGGACTGCTAACTGAATGGTCAGCTGTTGAAAGTCACCAGCCAATCCTTGAAAACCCTATACAGTGTCTCTATGCGTTGGGAGGGAACATCTTATCTTGTTCTGTTGCAGCAGCCCATGCTAGCTCTGTGGATAGTTCAATAACCTTGGGGAAGTTACATATGTATGAGGCTCGTCAGTTTCCTCGTCTATAAACGGGAGTAATAGCGTCACCTACCTGATTGCGTTGTGGTAAGGATGTAATATGATCTTTGTAAAGTGGGTAGAGATGTTCGATAAACTCCAACTACCAATTAAACAAGACATTACAATACTTATAAGGAAAAGGATTCTCTTCATTCCTAAATAAAGAAATACGCATTCAGGGCTGGCCTCTTCGCGGAAGGTGCATTCACAAAAGAGCGTGTTCAGAGGTCCTGAGGGCTCTGGCTGTCTCTCTGGACAGATGAATTTGCAGTCCGCCGGATTCCAATTGACGGACTAATCCAGCCCCAATTTCTACCGCCCGCGACGCCTTTAAGAGCGGAGCCATGACATCACCCAACGCAGCGCAACCTACCCTGACAGAGCGCTGATCATTTTTCTCCGGGCAGTTCAATTGGCTCGCCGGCACCCGGAGGCCCCGCCCTTTCTCCCTCCCCGCAGCTGGCCGGGGGCGCCAGCCGTCAGTCCTCCCAGGTGGGAGCAGGATCGGCCACCGGACCCGCCCTCCTAGAAGCCCAGCGGGGCCGGCGTAGGCTGCGCGGCTCGTGGTGGGAGGAGCGCGGCGCTGCCTCAGGAGCCGCCGCGGTCCCTGTCCTCCCACCCGCCCGTCCCTCCTGTAGCTCGCCTGCTGGGCAGGGCCGGCCCGTCCAAGCCATGGAGTCCTACGACATCATCGCCAACCAACCCGTAGTGATCGACAACGTGAGGCCCGGAGCTGGGGGGAGGGCGTCCGCAGGGATCCCCATCCGTCTCAGCTGGCGATCAGGGCACCCATCTGGCCGTGTAACCCAGGCCTCCGGCCGCTTCCCCACCGACAGCCGTTTCGGAGAGGCGGGGGCTTGACCAGCATTGCAGGGAGTCTGGAAGGGCTGCCGGTCCAGTCCACCTGCGCATCGGGCCTGCGGGAGCACCCGAACTTTTCTTGCTTGAGAGTGGGGTCTCTGAGCAGGGTCTACCCCTGCGAGCCCTGGTGCTGGCTGCCCCTCCTGATGGCAGTGGGGAGGCACTTGCCTTCTTGCACCCTGGTCAGCTTTAGGAGCTGTTGGTCAGGTGACCTCTACAGATGCTCTTGCTAGGGAGGCTGCACCCAAGGCAGGACCTCCAGGTTGCATGCGCTCTACCCGCATTCTTCTCTGCAAGTTACCTTCCATCGCCCACGTTCCCACACACACCTAGGTACCTTCTTGTTGGCTTTGATTTTCTCCGACATCAGCTGAGCAGAAATTCCACAGCCAGCATGGCAATGGGGAGAGTTCAGGGCCATGCTTGCCAGGCCCTAAAGTAGTTTGGGGTCTTTTTAAGACTCAGAGGAAAGATGTCTGGCTTCCTTGTGGACTTATCCCCGCTGCCATTTCTTGGAGGTTCCCTGGGAGGGTTTCTGGCCACAGCTGTGACATGGAATAAGATAAGGGCTGGGATATTTAGCCGGGTACCTGACTCTGACATGTCAACCTTGGAGTTTTTGATAATTCTGCTCTTTTTGGAATCTCTCACTTCCCACATGACCCACTGAGATCCTTGAATGGCAGTCTCTTTGGAGGACTATGTGGGCTGGACTGAGTCACAATAGATGACATTTAATAAGGAGCTTGGAACTGACTTTGGGGTTGTGTTGTCAGACCATCCAACAGGCCACAGGAAAGGCCGGGTCAGTTCTATTCTTGGTGGCAAATAACTCATCCAAGCTAACCAACAAGCCTGAGTTAGAGGAGGCTATTGGGGTAATTTCTTCCTTTGTAATTTGGAGATGTTTATTTTTGCACTGCAGGCCTAGAAGGTTAGGATGAAGACCACTGTCAAGAGGGCTTGAGAAGCTGATGTCTTAATTTAGTGGGAGGTTTCTAGATGCTAGATTTCTTGGAAGATCCTAAATTTGGCTTCTAGATGGAGCAGTGACAGGGCCAAGTTCTCCTTGTAATCTCTCGGGAAACCTCTTGAGGAGAGGTAGCTGTTGTCTCCATGCACCCTAGGATCGTCCCAGAAGGCTCCAGGATGTCTGCTAGGGTCCCTGGACCTGAGGGTACAGCTGAGAGCCTCTAGCAGGCTTCTGGGATTTGCTTTTGCTGTGAATGCCTCTTCTTGGAGCAGACCCCAGAGTGTGTGGAGAAGTGTACATCATGATTTCTCAGTCTCGGCACTATTGATATTCTAGGCTGGACGATTCTTGGTCTTGGGGAGCTCTCCTATGCAGTGTAGGATGCTTAGTCTCTACCTGCTGGATGCCAGTAGCACTCCTTCCTCCTCTGCCCCTGAATGTTGACAATCAAAAACATCTCCAGACATTACCAGAGATCTCCTAGAAGGGAAACTGGGGCAGAAATCACCCCAGTTTGAATCACTTGGCTGTGCCTCACAGGCTTGTGGGGTAGCCAGTACACTCCTGTGTAGGGGCTTTTTCTCCGTTTGGAAGGGAATGTCAGCAGCTAAACATTGTGTTTCCTTGCAGGGCTCAGGAGTGATCAAGGCTGGCTTTGCTGGAGACCAGATTCCCAAATACTGTTTCCCAAACTAGTAAGTGTTGCTCAGGCAGCGGTGCTAACGTTTTTGTTTGTTTCCCAGGAGAACACTGGCACCATGTTACAGCTGTCTCCTTTGAGACCAAGTCTTTAAGAGAAAACACCAGATCAGTAAGGTTGAAGCTGTTGAGGGCCCTTAACGGACAAGGACAAGCAGACCAGCTCTCTAGGCTTCTCCCTCTTCTTATGAGTCTCTCATTTTGGTCCCTTCTGGGACCAGTGAGGAGGAGAAATAGCCAGCCTGCCCTGGGGACTGGGTGTGGTATCAGCAGCCAGAATAAAGGGGAGAGACTCCAACGAAAGACAAAAACTCCAGGAGAAAGAGACAGTTGTGAGATGAACACCCTTCCGCTCTGGAAATGTTTTCTCCCAGCCTTCTTCATTTTCACGCTTTAGAAGATGGTTTGTTTCACTCAATGAGGCCTTTCTATGAATGCTGCCAGTGGTGGCAGAAATTAGGTTCAAAACAAAAAAACAAAACAAAAAAACAAAACAACCAGGAGCCTTTCTAGCTCATTGGGGAAATTCCCCTTAGGGGAGTGTCTCTTCTGAAATCTTGGGGGCATTGGAGTTAATGGCATAAAAAGGGTCCCAAAACCCCCAAAGTGACTGGCTGTACCAAGAACCCTGAGCCTGGTATGAGGTCAGAGTTAGAACCTGGGAAGGCTCCACCTTTCCTTGCTGAACTCATAGCGACCCTGTGTAGGATGTCCAAGGCTGTAAGTCTTTATGGGAGCAGAAATCCTCTGCTGGTGGTTCAAACTGCAGGATTGAACCACCAACCCTGCAGTTAACAGCCAGCCCAACACCTATCCCACTGCACCACCAGTGCTTCTGTTGAACTCCGTTTGGGTCTAATGAAAGGATCCTGTTAATGTGTGGGAAATGGGGGTCAAATATTGGAATGCTAGGTCATCATTGTTGAAGAACTGCATCTCTGTTCTAGAAGTCCTGGCTTTGGGGAGGGGAAGCGGGGACTGCATGAGTGAGGAGCATTCTAGGGAGCCATGACTCATCTTCCTGGGGTCTCCCATAGTCAGCAGCCCATCCCCTGAAGTGGAGAACACAGGATGAGTCATTATGACCACAGAAGGCTGACCCCCTGCCAGGGCTGGGCCAGCCATGAAGGAGCTCAGACACTCAGTCCTGTCCAGGCAGGAGGGGTGAGTCATGAAAGAGACACCGATTTCTTCCCTGAGCTTCCTGTCCAGCTGAGGCCCACTGTGCAGTCCTGTGCCACTTATGCCTCTGGTCTAGCCTTTGCCGCCTGGCCACATCTTAATGGTTTGGAGGACAGTTTGCCTCTTAACTGCTAGTGGTGAAATGTGCTTTTCCTAGACACCAGCTCAGCTAGGCCCCTCTCCTACCATGTTGTGTCTGTCCTTACAGTGTCGGGCGCCCTAAGCACATGCGGGTGATGGCTGGAGCCTTGGAAGGGGACCTCTTCATTGGACCAAAAGCAGAGGTAACACCTGTGGAGCCTGTCCTCCCTGGGTTTAAGGTCCTCCTACACATAGGAGCTGATGGTCACCTTTGAGAGAAATCCTGGGAATCTGTTCTTTAGAGTCATCTGCTGGGTATCACTTCTGGGTTTATGTTTCATACTCCAGCACTGAACTACTACACCGTGTTACCTCCCCTCTCTGCAAATGTTTCTCCCCTTGGTGAGATGCAGATGACGGGCCGTTTTGGGGAGCCTGGTTAGGCCAGTGCATGTCCTTGTGTTTTAGAGGCTACTTAGAAGCTCCTGAGAAAAGAACTGATTTAAGAGTCAACATCACGTGGACTTGATGGCTGATCTGAATTAGAGCCATGGGAGGCCTCCTCTTGAACTCTAGCCTGGGCGACTTGCCTAGAGGCTATCCAGCCATGATTAGGCCCTCGGGAGAGGAGCAAATATGTGGGGAGTGGGTAACAAGCTAAGTTTGAGCACTTTAGGCAGTTTCACAGCATAGGATGAGATTTTGTTGTTGTTAAGTACTGTGGAGTTGGTTCCAACTCATAGTGACCCTGCATAGGGTTTCTTTACGGGAGCAGAATGCCTCATCTTTCTCCCATGGAACCACTGGTAGTTTTGAACTGCTGACCTTGAGGTTAGCAGCCCGATTCGTAACCACTACGCTACCAGAGCTCCTTATAGCAGGGCAGATATGGGACTCTTAGAAGATGGTGTGAGTAGGATCCTTGGTTGTGAGTGAGAGAGGGTAAGTGGTACTTAGGGAGAAGAAGCACACTGAGGGGGACATCAGAGGGAAGGTATGATGGGTGAGGATGGCTCAGAGTGCTGAGAGAGGAGTCAGTGGAGGCAGTCACAACATCCCAACTGCCATTGTGAAGAGCAGTGGACAGCAGGGGGGGGCAGGTCCTTGTTGGATCTGGCTACAAGGAGTTCTCGGATGGTGCTAACAAGAGCAGTGTCAGTAAAGCAGTGGGGACAGAAGTTGGCAGCGTGAGCAGAGAGTGGAGGATTGAATATGTTAGTAATGAGGGTAGGGAAGTCCAGGAAGCATGACCATGGAAGGAAAAGGAGAAGTGGGATGGTGATGATGGGCTGGGCCTTAGGATCTGCACCCTACCTGGTTTCCAGCCAGTTGAAGCTGGTAAAGCTCTTGAGTTCAGGACCCTCCACACATCATCCATAGGTGGTATTATTAAAGGGCAAATTAAGGAGGCAACCCCCAAGAGGGCAGAAAGTAGTTACTCTGTGAGGTATTTAGGGGCTACATGTCACATCTGGCCTTTCACTTCTTCCCCTAGGAGCACCGGGGGCTGCTGACCATCCGCTACCCCATGGAGCATGGCGTGGTACGAGACTGGAATGATATGGAGCGCATCTGGCAGTACGTCTACTCCAAGGATCAGCTGCAGACCTTCTCCGAGGAGGTGTGGCAGCCAGCCCCTCCTGCGTCCCGGACTCTGTGTCCTCGTGTCTGTTCCCAGTTGGGCTTTCACATGACCACTCTGCATTTTGAGAGGGCTGCTGCCCTTTTACTGTGTGCATGTGTCACACACACACTCAGAGCAAGCTGTGAGATGAGCTGCTGACCGAGACCTGGATACTGTAGTAGTCTTAGGAAGGGTAGCAGGTGGCAGCTGCATAGGCTGGCAGCCGGGGGTTTTGGTTGTCTGGAAAGATTCCTTTTAGAGTCTGGCATGTTGTCCTTGCACGTGCCCACAACTCCGCCATCTCTTGTAGCATCCTGTTCTTCTAACGGAGGCTCCACTCAACCCAAATAAGAACCGGGAGAAGGCAGCAGAGGTGTTCTTCGAGACCTTCAATGTGCCGGCCCTGTTCATCTCCATGCAAGCTGTGCTCAGCCTGTGAGTGCTCCCTAAGCCCTAGGGATGGTCTGCTACTCTGGTCCTTGGAGTCCTCCTCTTCCCAGTGAACGTGGGTTCTCAGGCTTCTCTGTCAAAACAGCCTCTTGGTGCCTGTTCCTTTAGGGAGTCCCTTTTTCAGACTAGATAGGAAAGTGCCCCAGGGTTCCTTCCAAGGGTGAGAAGGTCCCCGTGCCTCAGTGGCTGAGGTGAGGGGACACTGACTTGATGACAGGTACGCCACAGGTCGTACGACGGGAGTGGTTCTAGACTCGGGGGATGGTGTCACTCACGCAGTCCCCATCTACGAAGGCTTTGCCATGCCACACTCTATCATGCGGGTGGACATTGCCGGCCGTGATGTCTCCCGGTATCTCCGGCTGCTGCTGCGCAAAGAAGGTGTCGACTTTCACAGCTCAGCTGAGTTTGAGGTGGTCCGGACCATCAAAGAGGTGACTCAGGCTGGGCAGTATGAGGGTATCTGGGTGTGAGGTTGAGTCCTGGGTTTCTTAGTGGCAGCCTTCTGAGGGTTGTGGTCTTGCCCACTGCAGCGAGCCTGCTACCTGTCCATCAACCCGCAGAAGGATGAGGCTCTGGAGACGGAGAAGGTGCAGTACACCCTGCCAGATGGCAGTATGCTTGATGTAAGTTGCCAGTTGTGGCACTGAGGCCGACACTTGGTGATGCTGGCACCTGGGGTGTGGAGGCTTCTGGAGGAGAAGAGGAAGGCTGGCATCCTTTGAGAAGCTTGTCTGCCTCAACCTCTATTCCACAGGTCGGGCCAGCCCGATTCCGGGCCCCTGAGCTGTTGTTCCAGCCAGACCTGGTAGGGGATGAGAGCGAAGGGCTCCACGAGGTACTGGCCTTCGCCATCCATAAGTCTGACGTGGACCTCCGCCGGACACTCTTCGCCAACATCGTACTCTCGGGTGGTTCAACACTTTTCAAAGGTACCAGAGTTTGGGAGGAGTTGGTGGTAAGACTTTGGAGACAAAGAGGCAGCTGGACCCTCTGAGACCACACCCCACCTCTTGGAGTCTGGGACATTGGCCCATTTTCTAGTGAGTTTTTGGTGTTCGAGGAGCTTCTTCTTTTTTCTTTTAAAATAATTTTGTGTGTGTATTTATGTGAATAAGCAATATGTTCACCCAAGTTCTAAAATATATTAAGTGAAAAGTCTCCCACTATTGTATTATCTCTGGCCACCCAGTCCTGTCCCTATAGGAGTGACTCATATTCTTATGTTTCCCTTCAGCAATAGTCTATGTGTACATACTGTTTGTATATACTATAAGCAAATATGTATTTCCCCTTCCTTTCTTTTACACAAATTGTAGCCCATTTTATGGTGCTGAAGTAAGTTGGTTTGAACTGCAGGATCAGCAGTTCAAACCCACCAGCCACTCCTTGGAAACCCTGTACAAGGTCGCTATGAGTTGGAACCGACTCAACAGCACTTCAGTACACTCTGCCATGTATTGTCTTTCTTATCAATATATCATGAAGATCATTCCCTATCAGCTTATGAGTGGCCTCATTCTCTATTATTAAATACCATGTAGTATTTTGCTGAGTGGATGGACCCTTTAATGGCATCATGTTGATTACCTTTGAGGTAGTTATAGCCATTTCTGGTCACAAAGTTGTGGCAGTAGACAACCTTATACATCTGTCATTCACATGACGGGAGTATAGGTAACAAATATGACACTGCTGGATAATGTGCTGGACCAGTGGTTCAAACTCACCAGCCGCTCCTCAAAAACCCTACACAGGGTCGCTATGAGTCAGAACCGATCCGACAGCACTTTACAACAACAGTGGGGCTGCAGAGGAGTGAAATGTGCATGCAGTAGAAATGCTGTCTGCCTGCAATTGTAATTCTGTAGATAACGCAAAAATAGCCCTGCCAAGAGGTAGTACTTTACTCCAACGTCTGGATGTTTGTGGTCTGTGCCAATCTGATGGGTAAAAAATGGTAGCTGTTTTCTCCTGTCATTTGTCCGTTGATTTTGTTTGTGGTGGGTTTCGGCTCATGGAATGTTGGCTGAGGAAGAGCCTAGTGGACCAGGCAGAGCTGTGTGACTTGAGGCTTCATCTTATTGCCTCTGAGGAGCTGGGCCAATCCACAGCCATGGTGCTGGATCTTTTCTTCCCTGGACAGCTCGCCCATATCCTTAGTCCCACATTTTTCAGAAAAGACACGCTGAAAGAAGGGGTGGTGGCAGTTGGGTTGGGAGCATCAAAGGTTGCATACTGGAGAGTAGGCTGGTGGCAGGGAGGTAGGATGTTGCCCACGGGTCCGACCAGCCTTGTGTTCACAGGCTTTGGTGACCGATTACTAAGTGAAGTGAAGAAACTTGCTCCAAAGGACGTCAAAATCAAGGTGAGGTTTTTGAGAGTCCCCATCAGGCTTTGCAGCCTTGACCAGGAGAGGAAAGAGCAAGTGTGGCCTCCAGACCCACCCCCCCTCCCATTTACTCTCACCTAAACCCACCCAGCCCAGCTTCTCCCTACTTTTTCCCATTTCTCGCAACTGGTGCACTTGCTTTCCTGCCCTGGGCCCTCTGGGAAATGCCCCTGAGGCTGGAAAGGTGGCTGCTTAGTGGGCATGGGGCAGTTACACTGATGGTTGCTTCCTCTAGATCTCGGCTCCTCAGGAACGGTTATACTCCACATGGATTGGGTGAGGCGGGGCTCAAGGGGAGGACTCTGGGAGACCATTTTACCCTGGACATTTTTCCTAGGGTTGACCCCAGACAGGTGGAGGTGGGAGGCTTTCCGTCCCAGGTAAAGGAAATGGAGTCCCGAGTACCCAGGGAGGGTGGTTGGCTCAGACCACAGGTCCATAAGACTAATACCTGTCTCTCCTCACAGTGGCTCCATCTTGGCCTCGCTGGACACGTTTAAGAAGATGTGGGTATCCAAAAAAGAATATGAAGAGGATGGTTCCCGTGCTATTCATCGTAAAACCTTCTAGTGTCCATGATGTGTGGGGAGAATGGGGGGGAAGGGGAGCCAGTGCCTTTAACCCTTTCTGGTCCGGGCCCACATACTAGGCGTAGGGTCCCCTGCATGCCCTGAATCCCCGGCAGCTGGTAGGTACATCGGTACCCCCTGCCATCCTCCCCTTCACACGTACACACACTGTCACACTGTTAACGTTTAGTTTCATGGATGGGATTCTTGAGTTGAGGAGCCCAGCTTTGGGGTACCCTGGGTATATTCCTTGGCAAGGCCAGTTAGGACTGTCATTCCTTGCTCTGATCCTCAGAGGGAATGCCTGTCTGTGTTTTAAGAACCAGGCACCCAAATGTACCTGTTTCCTCTGGCAGGATCCCACCCAGGGTTGAGGTGTCCCTCCTCATAGAGAGTTGGGTTAGAGAGGAGGTGCGCGCTAGCTCCCTAGAGATGCATCCTTGTACTCATGGCCTCTGGAGCTGTTGGTGCTCCTCCTTTTCCTGACCTGAAGGGTAGTCTCCAGGGCCCCAGCTAAGCCATTCCTGACCCTTTCTTTCACACTCTGTCCTTTGGTCTTCCTGGGTTGGATACCCTGGTGTCGGGCTGAGTACCAGGCCATCTTCTGCCCCCAGTGAGGATGGTCTGGCCCAGGATCAAACCCTTTGGAGGTGCCCAAGGTACCTGCAATCACTTCTTGTTGCGCTTTTCCCTAAAAAGCACATCACCGATTCGCTGCTCCCTGTCCTTGCCTCCACACCCTAGATGAGAAAGGGTTAGCGGTGTTCGTTTGTTGAAGGGAAATAATTTAATCAGGAGTCTGACTTGGAGATGGAGCGTTTCTGTCTCCCACCTCCAAGATCAAGGTCTTCACTACCTGATGGCCAGGACTTTACCTCTCCTTACCACAAGTCTACCCCACCCCAGATATGTACAGTAATTTAACACAGTTGCCTGAAAAAAAAATTTTTTTTAAATCATTATAGTAATAATTATGGACAAAGGCCAGTGTGTGGCTGTTTCCTTGTGGTTCTTTGTGCTATTGTTTGCTCCTCTATCCTTGGGGATTCAAAGAAGAGACTGGAGAGCAAGCAGCATGGTACTATGTGGGTTTCCTGGTTGATGGGGCAACGTGGCACAGGAAGCCCCAGGAGACGGGGTGTTGAAGCTGGCAGCAGAATTCCCAGCGTCATTATCCCCTGGTTAAAATCCACCAGGGAAAGCTGCCTTCAGACACCTTGTTGCCAGACAGGCAGGGCCTAGTTCCCAGGAGCAGTGTTGTTCTTGAGCACCTCTGAGCATGCCCCGCTCAGAGGAAGATAAGGCTGACAGATGACACCAGCCAATAATGTGGGCTCATCAGCTCATGGGTTCAGACAAGTCGTGTGTGGGGTGAGGGCTTGGTAGGAGAAGGAGAAAATGGGGATAGCAAAGGCTGAGGGATAGCAAAAGCTGGGCTCGAAATAAAGAAACAAGGAGAGAAAGGGCTGGGAGGCAGAGGGAGCAGTGAGAAATTAGAGTTTAAAAAATATCTGCTCTTTCCTTCATTAAATATTTGAGCACCTGCAGACTGGCTCCACACAGTAAGCACTGGACTGAAAAGCACAAGGTCTGTGGTTCAAGCCTGCCTGCCATTCCGTGGGAGAAAGATGAGGCTTTCTGCTTCCACAAAGATTGTCAAAAGCCTCGGCAACCCTGTACAAAGCAGCTATGAGTCAGAACTGACTTGAAGGCACTTAACAACAACAATCACAGGGTGCCAAGTGTGTGGGACCAGTGGTAAACAAGATCTAGTCCTGGCCCCCACAAAGTTAAATGTTAGGGGAGGAAGACAAACAGGCCTATTTAGCACAGAGTTCTGAAGACCTGGAGGAAGGGCATCTAACTCAGCAGGGTAGGCTGACTTGTGAGGGTCCTATAGGAGTTTGACAGGAAGGTATTTCAGGCAAAGGTAAGAGTACTAGGAAATGCTTGGGACCTGTGGGGCCGGAGAGATGCCAAGTCAGCAGGGAGGAGTGAGTGCTCTCATATGGCTGTGTTGTTAAGTGCTGTCAAGTCGTTTCCCACTCATAGTGACCCTGTATAGGGTTTCCAAGGAGCAGCTGGTGGGTTTGAACCACTGACCTTGTGGTTAACATTCAGTACTTATCATACAGTGCCACAAAATGAAGATGAGAACAAAAAAGGTAGATCAGGGCCAGTATATGGAAGGCCTTGAGAAGACTTCTAGCTTTGACCTAGATGAGGGGTGACTGGCCATGGGAGGATGGTGATCAAAACTGAGAGTTGGCAGTTTAGTAGGGACTAGAGTGGGCCCAGAACCAAGAAAACTGGGAGGGAAAAGAATACTGAGTCAGGCTTGCTCGGCACCGGGCATTGTATAAAGTTTTGTGGTTGCAGAGCAGCCAACCCGTATCTGCTCTCACGGGAGAGACCATTTACACAGGTCTTTGTCTGGGTGCCCCCAAGACCAGCACTTCTCCAGTTCTATTCATGGCACCACTTTCTCCCTTCCACACAGGTTTGGAGTCTATTCCTTTGACCCTCCCTTACCTCCTCTACGTCCTGTCACTAAGTATTGTTGATTGTTCTGCAGTGTTTTTCCCACCCATCCTTTGCCATGACCACCACCACCACCCCAGCATGTGACCAAACCTCCATTCTCCCACCCAACCCATTTTCTCTAGAATCTAAAGTATGGATAACCTTGGATCTGCCACCTCTTGCTCCAAAACATCACGCTTTCCCACTGTCTGGTGAAATAGACAACATGACACCGGTAAAATCACCTTCATAAACTACACATTCTATTCAGACCCTTTGGGATCTGTACTTTCCTTCCCTGTTTCAGCCTTATGCATCATGTTGCCCTGAATTGCCTGCTAGCCTATACTCATCCTATTGCTTTTGCTGGAAATGACCCACCTAAGTCTGGCAAAATTCTGTCCATTAAGACAAAGCACAATACAATATCCTTCCTACTTTTCCAGCAGGATAAGATGTTGGCTCAGGCTCTGCCAAGTTTCTCATTAGGAAAAAAGTTATGAATAAGGCTAGAATGAGCTTGGATTGGATTGGAAGCAGACTGATTAGCTCGTGCTTTTTAATATATGTACAGATAATATGCTAAACTATACATCCATGTGTGAGGGACAGAATGAATAGATTTCTTCTTGCTTTGTCTATTGAGGGCCTGGATGCAGTACTGAATGCCCCAGTAGCAATGAGCACATATAGTAATCCTGATCTTGGTTTCTAAATACCAATTAATAAAAGGAACCAGAGTTCCTTGGGAGAACTCTAGAGCTACAGAAAAAATACAAGTTGAGCCCAGAGGGTCTTGTGGTGATAAAAGAAGGGTTCAAAAACAGATGGAGGCTCGTCAAAAGGACACAAGAGCCAACTTGGAGGAGCATCAGATGGTCAAATCTGTAATGTATATAAGCCATAGAATAAAATATTCATGAGCCCATACCAATGGAAACAAATCATTGAATATATACCTACATGGGGGAGAAGGGACAACTGTTCATTTATAATAGAATGCTAATGAATAAATATAGGAGGACCAATGGAAAAAGGTAACAATTGCCACAGTAACTGTTTCAGTCGTCACAAGGCTCCTCAATGGATATAAAAATCCAGACAGTCACATCTCAACATACCTCCCTAAAAGACATTAGTTACAAAAGGAAAAGTAGCAGGCTTTTATTTAAGTTTGAATCTCCCAATAACAAATCATAACAGCATCGTGTATCTTGATGCAATGCACTGAAAGAGCCCAGAAGATTTTTTTTAGTACACCCTTAATCTAACCATGAGGAAACAGAAGAGGAACCCAAACTGAGGGGCATTTTATAAGTTAATAGACCAGCTCTCTTACTTAAAAGTGGTGAGCTCATGAAAGTCAAAGAAATGGGTAGATCGAAGGCCATGAAAGAGCTTGACAACTGGCAACAAGAAATCCTGGATTGAAAAGCTGGAAAAGTCCAAATATGTTCTGTTGGCTAGTTCGTAGTACTATAACAGTGTTAATTTCTTGGGTTCAATAATTGTACTATGTAAAATATTGACACTAGAGGAAACTGGGTGAAGGAATTCTGCTTTTGCAACTTTTTCAAGATGCATAACCATTAAGATGAAACAAGGTGTATGATTAGTTGGAAGTAAAGCTGATGATCTTGTCAATTTACCTTCACACACACACACAGAAATGTATAATCAGAAAACAGAGCTCAAGTCCAGGAGCCAAACGGTCTCTCCACAACCCTGCCACCACAATTTAAAGTCACTGTTCCTAGGTTTCCCCATCTCTCATATAGGGGTGATAATAATAGCACTTACCTCATGGGTTTTTAAGGCTGGAACATTTTGTACCAGAATATAAGTGCTCAAAGAAAAGGGGCTTTTTCAAAAGGTCCTGAGACAGCTGACCTGGCCAAATTTGGAACAAATTAAGCATCAAAAATATTGGGAATAAGTATAGCTCCATAAGATATTTATTAACAAAGAGATACAGGGTCACTATGAGTTGGACCTGATTTGACAGCACTTAACATCTTCACAGCAAAGAAGCCTGGCAGACATTAGCTTAATCAAGTGACCAAAGTAAACCTCATCAATAATAGGACATGTCCTGGTGTAGCGCTGCAGGAACTGCAGAGTAGGTGGATCAAATCCACCAGCCATTCCTTGGAAATTCTATACAGGGTCGTTACGGGTTGAACCGACTCAACAGGTAAGAGAACAACATACTCTTGTAATACAAACGGTTTGGGTGTGTTTGCTATTGTTGCTATAGACAATTACCATACATTTGGTGGTTTACAACAATACACAAATTGGTTATATTTTACAGTTCTATAGAAGGTTGTCTTAGTTATCTTGTGCTATCATAGAAATGCCACAAGTGGAAATTTAATGCTCTCAGTTTAGGAGGCTAAAACTCCAAATCCAGAGTGCCAGCTCTGAAGAAAGGTCCTTGTCTCTTTTCAGCATCTGTAGACCCAGCATTCCTTGGAG